CTTAGATTGAAGGTAAAATTGGATATGAGTAAAACAGTGTTACAAACCCTAGTAACCCCTCAGAAGCCGCGACAAATTACAGTGACCCACGATAAAAGTGAACGAAAAAACCACCATTACTGTCAAACAGATTTTGGTAAGATGTTGCATAAAATTCCTAATTTTGAAAGATTCAGTGCCTCGGTCGGACTAGAACCCATGCAAAGACACTATCACCGCCAGTATTATGAAACTTCGCCGGGTTGGACTGTGGTTGAGTTTGTCATGAAACTAATTTCGTTTATGCCTTGAAACACTGAGCCATGGGCGCTCTTAAATTCAGTTGCATTTTGTCTGCTTCATACTTATATTACATAGGATATTTAAGATTCAGTTATCGTCCTCGACGGAGAAAATCATAGGGAAACGGTCACCTTTCACAAGGGTAACGACTATGCGAACACAATTAAACATTTTAGCAAACCCCTAACCACCTATGGATGATTTTCATCCAATAGCAGCTAGTAAACACAGCATGGTATCATTCAGCTGCTCAATATTTCTCGGCCAACGAGATTGAAAGGCTTGTAGAGAAGTGATCAAACAAGCGTTGAAAAGAAATCACTAATCCTGTGTACTGAAACTAGTTCCTCTTCTGGCTTATATAATATAATCCAGGGGTGAATATTCAGCAGCAGTGAACCATTAAACATAAATAAATTGGTTAGAAAGCTGCAAGAAAATGAACAGACAACAATCGGTATTGTATCTAACCAGAGATGCACTCAGGGTTACAGAGTACAGAAAAGTAGGAGAACAGAGTGATTTTGTGTGCATAGACTCGTGAAAATAGTGGCGTGAATAAGGAACAGTGACGATGAAAATGTATATTTATTTGAATTGAGATGGAGAGGATGTGTGGGATCAGCTAAGATTTTCATCGACTGTTCTTTATGCTAGAAATCAATGTGGAAGCCACTGATTCGATAGACTAGATGAGGACCAACCCACTGACAAAACTGTTTTAATCTGTATTCTTTAACAAGCAGACCAGAGAAGACGACCGTGGAGATAAATGTAACCGGTGGGGCGAAATGCAAGCATGGAAAATCGTTTGACAATAAGAAGGGGAACAGAAAAAATTCTAAGGTGGTGCCAATAGGATAAACGATTTCTGAATGTAGCTAAAAACGGAAGTTATTTCTTCATAACAAGTAAGCTCTTGGTTTCAAATAAAAGAGGTTCTTATTGGGCTGTCTTGCTGGATAAAGATTCGTCATATGCAGAACAATCAGGAGAGGTATTATAGTCAATTTCGGTGATTCGTATAGAACGTGTTATGCTCAACACCAAGCATCTCTTTGGAACTACTAGAGATCTGTGCACATTTGCATAAACATGAAAATCGGAGAAAAATGTAATCCATCAAGGAATAAATGCGTCCAGTTTGAGAACACCTAATTAATTAGCTTACCCCATCCAAAGCGAATCCATGGACACCGGTACCAACAGACAAGACCATAATTGTAGCGCTTCCGTAGAGGGCATAACCGGCAGCCACAAGGTGGCGGCCAGTTTGCAAAGCCTCTGTGCTCTTCACCGGTCCGTGTGCATCAGATGGACGTCGAAAAATTGAGAATATAGATCCAATCGAACCCATGCAATCGATATTCGAAGAGCCATCCAGTGGGTCGAAGCAAACAATGTATTTTCCCTGTTGTTGTAGGACATAGACGAAACGTCCTTAGTACAACAAATGAACCGATTCACATCGCGAAAAAATAAACTGTACCGGTTTAATGTACAGATACGCAACACGTAGGTAGATTTTATAACTTTTCCAAATCTATTATGTTCACCTGATTATTGCCTTCTTATGGGATGTAATTTCCAGAGGCATATTTCCAACTCGCAATTGGCTTTTAAACAGGTGGCAATCAAAATAAAATATACATTGGAACATTCAGGTTAACATTATATATGCTCATACTTGTCTGAGTCCCGACTGTGTCAAACAAATCACGGTACAGTAATCTTCCTTACAAAGAAATAAGTTCATGCTTAATTCGTGGGCGGAATAATGCCCTGGCACAAGCAACAGAAATAGCTAGATAATTATATCCGACGAGAAAGTTAAAAGAATGTGGAGCACAAGTATGGCCGCTTAATTGTTGTATCATAGTACCGTTCGCAAGTGATGACACATAATCAGACGTACTTGGACGACAGTGATCAGTTCGTTAGCCTCGACAAATTAATCGCAAATTTTAGGCAACTGTTTGAGTTGGAGACATTAAATGTTAATGNTTAGCATTAGATTGTACTGCTTTTGGTTTTTCCCTTAAATCGAAGGGACCAACTCAAATCCACATATCTGATAGGCTCAGGAATTCAGAATTCATCGAATAAGCATTAATTTCCGAAGTAATGACGGAATACAAGAGAGTGACGAGAGACTACCAACCTTTTGATTGAATATTCACAATAAGGGCACATGATTTGGATAACAGACTACTATGACGATTCCAAAATGAACAGCGTAGAAGTGTGAAGCTTCGACAAATTGTCTTCCCTGTGGGTTGGAATCATTAGGAGAAAACATCTATTTACCCAAATGAGGTTCCATACCGGGTCCACAGAGACAGACAACAAATCTACGAGAAGCTCGACTGCGGTGCAGCTGAACAGTTCAGTTCAGTTCTTACAACCATTAACCATGCATTTTCGTGCGCCGGTTTAGGTTGCCCATTTGGATAAAACAGCAGAATGATGATTAGAATGTTGAGGGCAGCTTCAAGCGGAAGATAGCATATTTTCAT